CAATCCCGGTCGGCCCAATATGGCATTGTGGGCACACTTTATATCTACCACCACGAACGTCATTCGGAGTGACGCTTTGTGGGTTTCATCCCCAATTTCAAGCATTAATTGGATGGTCCCCTCCGCCTCGATGCAGTTACCGGTGAAACTTGCCAGTGGGGTCCGTAGATGGGTCAGTTGGCTCCTTTGTAGACCCATTTTCTCGAATGATTGTAGATACAATACATTCACACTGCTCCCGGTATCGACCAGTACGCGGCGGATCAAAGCATTGTCAATACACATGCTTACCACCAGTTCATCCCTGTGTGGGCTTGGAGAGTTGGGTAAATCAGCTGGCCCGAACGTGATCGGGTCTGTCCTTCCTTTCTTCTGGGGGGGAGCAGAGACGGATCCCACATAAAGACTTCGCTCGAATCTTTTTCGTTCGGCGTTCGAATCTCCGGTCTCCCCGCCCCCAAATATAACCTTGACCTCCATTCGAGGCTTCTTTCCAGGGCCTCCCGAGCCCTCTGGCTCATCCCTGAGAGGAACATACACATCATTTTGAGGCTGGGCGTCACGTTGAGCATCCCGGCGCCAGCTATTAGGTTTCCTGGCCGGTTTTAACGTGTCCATTGCATTCGGATCTTTATTCATATATTTGCCCAGATGGCCCCTTCGGATCAGATCCTCAATGGCTGTTTGTAGGGCCCTGCAGGCATTGGTGGCATGACCCTTTCTGTTGTGATATTTACAGAAAGCATTGTCATCCGTTCCCATGAACTGTCCAGAATCAGTCGGGATGGGAATATTGTCCCTCTCGTGCTGATAGATGGTCGCTATTGATAGGACCAGGGGTGTAAATCTCCCTTGTTTGGGAGGTAAAGCGGCCGCTGGGCTAGGACCCAGCCGATCAGCCATTCTGATCGGGGCAGCAGGCGTAATGACCTTATCCCTGATCATTATCTCCTCTTCTAGGGCGGCATGCTTGCGAGCCCTATCTAATACCTCGGCATACACCGTTCCCGGATTTTTCTTCAACTCTTTGTAGAACTCCCCCGTTCGGAGAGCATTTGTGAATAGGGTAATGGCGGTATCATCCGTCATGTTTCCCACTGTTAAAGTTTCATCCCTCCACCTTTTCAGGAATTGATTGAGGGTCTCTTTGACGTTTTGCTTCACGCTGGTCAAATAGCTGAAGTGCCGTTTGGGATTGGCACTGGAAGCAAACTGAGCCAAGAATAACGCTGATAACTCGGCAAAGCTGTTGATTGATCCGGGCTGCAGTGTCCCGAACCACTCCTGGGCAGGCCCCCTGAGCGTGCTGAAAAACAACCGACAAATGGCAGCCTCAGGTGCTCCGAGCAGCATAAGTCCCCCTTGGTAACTCCTCAGATGTACGTGGGGATCTCCCACCCCGTCATAAATTTGGCCGGTCGGGGGCTTGGCACCCCCTTGGATATCTGCGTACATGAGTTCCCTAGTAAACGGGGAAGTAATTCCCAGCTGAACTGGGGCAGGTTGTACAGGTACCCTGTTCATCTGGTCCCGCATTTCATTCATTTGCCTCCTCATCTCGGCCATTTCTTCCTCCTGGGCCGTCAAAGGGGGCGGTGGTGGAGCCCTCATATCCGTACATTCCCGGTCCTAATGCCGCTGAGGGGCCCTAGTATTTTCCCGCTCGGCATACTGGAAATGATGACCAACGGGAGTTGGTCCTCTAGCTTGTGATCCGACCGGGGTTCGGTCACTGGGACTGTGGTGCGCTGTTGGTGGGGCGCTACGTCGATTATCCCGATGGACATGTGAACGGGACGACGCCGTGGTTGTTTCCGTGCGTGGGGTCTCCCCTGTAAAGCTGGAACCTCCTTCCTCTTCGTTCGCCATATGCTGCATGACCTGGGCCATGTCACACATGGCCTGAGGATTTCTTCTCAGAGATTCAGGAATCACAAAATCCTCATCGAAACGAGGATACGATCCTCGACTGGATTGTCCCTGAGGGTTTTGACTCCCCGGGGTGTGACTCCTCCCGTGACGGCGTGAACCGTCGCTTGTATGATAGGAACTGATTCTGACCATTTTTGAAAAATAGAGGTTTTTTGGATGATTTGAAAGTGAAACTTTTTGCAAGTTTCCCACAAACGGCGCCAATGTTGGGGGTAAACCCGTAGATCCGAAAGCCCAACACGAACTTTGGATATATCAGGAATGACCCAGAATCAAAGCGTGTAAAGAAATATAAGATCTGAACTAACTAATACTCGAAAGCTCACTTGTATTAATTAACCAATCTGATTACAAGGAATTTCCCGATCGGTAGGTCGGAAACTGTGCTTTAATACAAGAAATAAGAGCAATGATGCTATTCTAGAGCCTGAGTATTGAAATGCTAACCCTTACAATGACTTGAAACCTTCTATTTATACTAATGGAGAGCATGGGCTGCCTCATGCTGATTGGCCGTTGTTCCACCGACTTGGTCATCCATGCTTCCACTTGCTGATGTCACAGTCTGGCATTAATTGCACCTGGCCACTTGCTGGTTGGCCGTTGCTCGAACGGGATGTTGGGCTGTACTGAAGATGTTGTCGAATTGGCCCAAGTATGATATATAGCCCGAACTCCGTTCGGTATGTCTTCTTACTGGGCCAACCTTTATTTGGGCCGAATATCGTTCGGCATGAATTCTTTACTGGATCTATTCATCATAGAGCGATGGGCCCGTTGCTTGGGCCGGATATCTTGGGCCTTCTCGATCTGGGTATTGGGCCTCTAGGTCAATATCCCAACAATCAGTTTTATTCTTCTTCTTAGAACTGTTCTTTTTATTCTTTGGTTTCCCTTTAATCATAAGAGCTTCATTTTTGGGCTCAGTTTTCTCAGTATTAGAGGGATCAGATTTAGACTTAAAAACTTTAAGAGATTCATTCTTCTCAAGTATAGCATCAGTGATCTTACCAGGGGTGAGATCCTCATTAGAATACTGGATGACATCTTTAAAGTTATCAAACTGTGAAGGTAAAGAATTTAACAAAATAACAGCTTGATGGGTGTCTTTTATCTTTTCATCTACCTTTTCAATTTCTTGAGTCAATTTCAAGGTAAACATTCATATAAGTGGACTCAAGGGTATCCCATAACACTTTAGGGTCAGTGATTGTGGAAAATTTTCTAGCCACATTGTCAGAAAGATGAATAATCAATTCAGAATATGCAGCATTTTTTAGTTCAGTTAGATCAGAACTAGACACATTGGGAACAGTATCAGAAGAAACAACTCCAAAGCATTTCTGCTTCATCAGGAGAGCTTTCATTTTAAGCTGCCACATGGGAAAGTCACTGATACCATCAAAGATACGAATCTTGATACCAGTGTCAGACATATTTGCAGATTAAGATCAAGATACAAACCAATAACAGCAACAGAAGGCAATCAGACAAGAACCGAAAGAAACACAATCAAGATTCGAACAGTTTTGAGCTAGGGTTTCAGGATCGAAAAGCAGTAAACCAAAAATTAGGGTTTCTTGAAAAAACTCAATCAAATCAGAAATTTAGATTAGGTTTTCAAGAATCTAATGTAAAGGCTCCGATACCAAAATTGTTCACAGACTATATTGATAGTCACAACCAAAATACCGGATTCAATTATCAAGCAGAATTTAAAGATAAAGAACACACGATATGTTGACGCAGTTCGGATAAATCCTACTCTGCGGGGTTTCAACAGGAGAAACCCGGTCCCAAGAATCCACTAGCTCAGAAAGTTTGAATACACAGATGGTTGCAAAGAAAGGAACAAAAGTAACAGATCTAACACACAAGAATCAGCCAAATATAAGCATACAAATAAAATAAGAAAAGGAACAGAAATAACCGGACGAAACTATCAAAACCCAGGAGTTATCAGATTCTTGGACTCGAATCAATTGCTCCGGATCTACGCTTCACCACACGGTTTACTCCTTGCCTTTATCAGCTTACTCAGGACTCCAGTGTATCTCAGATCACGAAGAAGAAGAAAACCAGAGGTTAACTCTTCACAAGCTCTCTCTCTCTATCGCCGTTTCTGTATTAGGGTTTTAGAATATGACGTAAAAGATGTCTCCAGAAGAAGGAAGGAGACCATTTATAGGCGAGAGAAAGAGTTGGGTCAAAGTAATGAGAACCGAGCTCACCACGGTTAAAAACAGGCCCAAACCAAAAGAGAGGATAAAACTGAAACGGGCCAGACCTATTTAATGGTCCAATTGAATAAATCAATTAGAGTCCATTAAATATAATTACTTTCTAACCTTGCTTTACCTTCCTATCTAAGTATTAAAACATCATGTATAACATAATTAGAATTAGGATTACAAATATAACAGTAATAAATACTGTCTCCATCCATATTTAAAAGTGGCACTTTGTTTTACACATAATTTTATAAAACGACATTGTTTGACATAGTTTTGACACTGTTTGATACTGTTTTACGATGTTTTATTTACTTTTGAATAAGGAAATGAGATTTTTTAAGAACAGGAAAGTAGGACTATTAGTGAGGATAGAGAGAGTATCAGTGTATTAAATATCAAATTTTATTCATTTCACATTTAAATAATGTTAACTTTTAAGAAGTTATAACTTTTTATTTGCAATAACTTACACGAGAAAACATAATATACTCGTATTGAATTGAAGATATTTTAACCCTCGGCTCCAACTCTGTTAATAATGATTTTAGTGATTTTCTCATATACTCCCTCCGTCCCATAATTAACTTCGGTTTTGACTGAGCACAGGGATTAAGATAGTGGGATTTGTGTGGTGGAGAGTTGTGCAGAGGAGAGAGAAATGTGTAAGAATGATTGTGAACCACGTATTCTTTATCAAAAAGGGAAAGAGGAGATAAATTTGGGATGGACCGAAAAGAAAAGAATGAAGATAATTTCGGGACGGAGGGAGTAATCCTTTTCCCCAACGTTTTAAAGAAAAAATTGATTTCAAAAAGACAAAAACGAGTAAAATTCGTTGCATTCACTGTGCTTTTGTCGTTGATGCACTTTTCAAATCTTCACTTCAATTTCAAGCTCGATAGATCACAATATTTCCAAAACCCACTGCAAAAGCCTTTAAACCCTAACCAGAGAAGCAAGTTTACAAGTAATCCTTCTACTTTCTACTAATTACAGATTACCCCACAAAAAGATTAAAATATGAGAAATACTTTTCACATTTCACCCAGAAAGTTCGCCAAAACAGAGTCATCATTATTCTGATCGGCGTCGTTGACCCAAAGCCATGACCCATCACGGTCGTCCATATCTTTGACAACAAGTCTCTCCGTTTCCGAAACGTCGGCATGCACCAACCAACCACGCGCCCCGTACGCGTCGCTTCCCCACGCGCATCCGAACTCCTTCGTCCAACCCCCGACGACTCCGCCGGCGCCTCCGATGTCGATGCTGGCCATGACGGAGGAGTCCAAGTCCGAGAACGAAGAGCCGCACGACTCCTCATTTCCGTTGATGGTGACGTACGCCGTCGATCGGGAAATGACTGGCGGCGAGTATAGGTAGGGGTCGTCGGAGAACCTGACTTTGAAGCTCTCCGGCGGCTCCTCAGGGTCCAATAGCTTGGATAGCTCCAACATTGCATCGTCATCGAGTGTCAACCACTCCATCATATCTCCGCCGTTCTCAGCGTCAATGACGCCGTCATGAACCGTCTCCGTTTTGCGCCGCTTAACCGCGTCGTCGTCTTCGTCTTCCATTTCACCGCCTTGCCTCTTCACTTTTTCCATGAAACAGAAAGCTTCCTCAGAATCTGAGAAAAAGCTGAGCAAAATGGCCGGAAAATCTCAGAAATTGGTTAGAGAGAGAAATCGGGCGAAGAAACGATAAAGTAAGAGAGAGGAAGGGGTGCATCACATTAATGGCGTGTGAGTATTGGCGCGGTTTTTATAATGCGCGTCTGTAGACCACGTGGAATGGAAATGACTGGGCAAAGGACGTGGTGGACTGGCGGTACATGCTACGACTGGAGTGAACTCATATCGACACATCCTTTTCAATTGAAAATCGTATTTTCCTGGCTTGCTTTAATGTAAAGTCATATAATCCAAATTTCATTAATTAAGTTTCCCAAACTAGAAACAAAAATAATGTGATTTATTTTTCAGAAGCCGGTCACCACCAGCTTCTAAAAAGACCGATTCTAGAAATAAATTAAAGCACCAGAATCACTTCTGCACTTTCACCCAAATACTTCAACTTCTGTTTCTGCTCCCTGAAGGAGCAGAAACAGTTTTAAGAATCGGATCCAAACAGTCCGTAAATAGAAACTGTTGTGTAGTTTTCATAAAATGGGACATGCTACATTATTTCATTAATATTTGAGTCTAGAGTGATAAACGATTATATTGCATTTGATTAGTCCAATTCATTATTCCATTATTTATTTATATCGAAATTACTCGATGTAATAGTGAAAAGAGGAATGATACGTTGGGGATATAGATTGTGCTTGAAAATGTTTAGAATTGATTTTGTTTCTATTTTTTAAGAAGAAGTAGGCAAGTAGCAGAATCAATTTTTTCATAAAATGATCTCCCTGAGAAATACTTCTGCACTTTCAACCAAACACTCCGTTATTTCTACTCTTTGAAGAAACAAAATCAGTTTTAAAAAGTTAATCCAAACACTTACTTTAAAAACAGCTTATGTTCCATGAGAGAACATAATCAGATATTGGAGTATTAGAGCCAGTTTGGTAGCACGAAAACCGGTTTATTTAGCTGATTCTGCTGAAATTTATGAAGTTCGGGCTGAAGTGGCTGTATTGACTAATTCTGGTGATTTAAGAAAAAAATATTTATAAAATATATTTTACTAATAAAACAAAGAAAAAGTTATATGTAAAAATAGCTAAAATGATCATCTACATTCTCGCTTCCGCTTCGTCCATCCCTGCTCGCGCATAGGCTTCCCACTAAGGCGGAACGCTCCCCTACCGATGTCATTTCTGCTCAAATTAAATCCATAGAATTTATTTGAAAATTCTAGTATGGCTTCTACTATTCCTGCAGCTCGTCAATTAGTTAACCATCGACATATTTTAGTGAATGATCGTATAGTCAATATACCCAGTTATCGCTGCAAACCTCGAGATATTATTACGCCGAAGGATAACCAAAAATCTGTAGGGGATCTTTTTCAAAATTATCGCGATAAAATCTATAAATAATCATCTACTGTAACTTCAGCCAATATAGCCAGAAAAGTAACTCCAACCTTACTTTTTCTGCTTATTACACAGTTCAGCGCGCGAAAGCAAAAGTTACGTGTTTGGTGAAAAAGTTGGCTGAAAAGCCTGATAAACCGAAAAACAGTGTTGCCAAACGGCCTCTTAATGTGAAAGTGTACAAGTATTTTTAAGTGCTTCAAATTGATCTTGGAAACTGGTGGCTTTCCTGACCCTAGGGGTAGCACGGAATTGAGAGAGAGAACCAAAAAGTGCTAAATATTGACGAGTAGAAAAATTGCAAAGTAATAGTAAGCTTGTGGGCAAAAATGCCGATCTCTTTCCGCAAGTTAGAAAGTAATACTCCCTCCGTCCCTTAAAACTTTGCCAAGTTTGACCGGCACGGGGATTAATAAAGTAAAAACTCTGTGGTTGAGAATTGTGCAGAGGAGAGAAAATTAACTGGAATCACAAATTCTTTACTTAAATGGGAAAGTGGCAAAGTTAGTGGGACATCCAAAAAGGAAAGTAGGCAAAATTTTAAGGGACCGAGGTAGTATTTACAATGTACAAGAAAATACTTGGGGAACAAGTAAAATATATTGATAATGGTGTACATCTTTACTTGATTAGTTTGTGTTCCGGACCAGATAATATCAGACTATATTGAAATAGATCAAATCTGATTCGATCAGATTTAAACATCAATTTTGAGTAGATCAGACTTCGATGTTATAAAATAAAAATAGGCTATATTAGTTCAGTCCAGACCACATCAAATAAGACCAGACTTGAAAATTTCACTCCAATTTAAAACATAATCAATCAATTAAGGTTGTACAATTTTATAACATGAATTAATATATGAGAATTGTTTGGGCTTGTATTAATTGTTCTAATAGCCATTAACACAACTTGTAGGAGTGAATCGATACCTATTGCCTCGTATTTTTTACCTCCGCTCCAAGTTATTCACTTATTTGTCTGACTCATGTTTATTTGACTAGCTTTTTTTCTTTTAGGTCGCTCTAAAATATATTTCTAATGTTATGTTTTGTTTTTGTACCACACAAAAATGTATATGCGGAGGACATGTATTATTAATCTAACCATGTCCATAATCTTTCCTTTGATGACCTTCTCTATTTGATCGATTGTTATCTTTGTTTAATTAGTGATTTTCTTTACCTATGACCCAAAATATTGTAATTTGGCAAAAAATATATACTCATAGTAGTCATATAATATTGGAATAAATTGGTTGTGTTTAACATTATTCAGGAAAATTATTTTTGAACGTTTCCACTGACCTATTTTTATAAATTAATATCAATCACATCATTTCGTTTATTCCTAATTTACACGTCATGTCCCTGAACCTGACCAGATGAAGGGTGTTGAGTAGGTGATAAAATAGGAGAGAGAATTTGCAAAATATAAGATCAGTATAAGCGCGTAAATAGATATAAAAGTTAAAACATTAATTTTTACATTTGTTTTCCAGATACTCTAAATTGATTCATAGACTAATTCTGCATAGATATTAATGAAATTATTGGTAATCCTATTTTGAAAACCGTGTATTCCCAAATTTTTTGGACCCTGGTGGCCTCCCAAATGTGAAATTGTAGGACTTTGATTACTATATATATAGTAAGTGTTGGGGAATATTATCTCGGTCCATTACTGTTCAGAAGCCCAAAGCTTCACCTGATATGGAGCCCAGTTGACGAGGTCCATTTAGGCCCCTCCGGCCCATTTAGAGCCATTCAGGCCCACCCGGCCTACTTGGGGTGGTTTCGGCCCATTAGGCCTATTGGCCCATTAGAATAGAAACCCCTCCCCTGGCTAATAAATAGGAAGCTTGGCTTCCAGATTATAGGATCTGCTTTTCTTCTCTCCGGGGAGCTTGGCTCCTTGCTCCTTCTTTTAGTTATTTCAAGCTTCATCAATGGAAGCTCCAAGATATTTGTATTATGTAAAATGGTGAGGCGAGCATGTTAATGAGAAAGAGCGGACTTGGACGTTAGCCTAAAAAGTCCCGTGGTTTTCTCCTTTTCTGGGTTTCCACGTAAAAATAGCTAGTTCATACACTTTTATATATTTATTTGCTTTTATACCGAATCCATCGTCCTTAATATTCGAAGTTTATGTTGGGATTTCGGATCTACGGGACTAAACCTCAACATTGACGCCGTCTGTGGGAAACAGATCAAAAAGCATAACATGTTGTTCTTGATTCTACAAATTATGAAAGATGAGGGTAAACTGATTCTGGGAGAAGAGGGAGGAAAGAATGTTTCAGGTAAAACACAAGAACAGGAGAAGAACTCCAGACCAAATCCAGACTCCAGCAGCTTAGTCGTAGCTCAGATTGCTTCGCCCAAGGAGGATGACGATCCAGGGCTGCCAATGATTGAAGAATATGGTGAGTGGGACCCGCATGCCTGCCAGCTTCCTACTCCCACGAAAGAAACCTGACACCAAGGCACAAGCCTACAACAACACAAGTGGGCAACTTGACAGATTCATCTTTATCCTAGATAAGACACCGGATCCCGAACGAGAATTGCCGGAGTGCCCAAGCTAGCGACTGCACCCGGAAAGAGTCCCAGGAGACCACCGGGTCACCCCCGAGCCTAGTAAGGGAACTCTCTAGGGTATTCACCCCTGATCGGGCACGCAGAAGAAGGGGATGGGTTCCCAATCGTTAGATGCAGTACATAGACCAGACAGCGGACTGCTCCGAAATTATTCCAGACAGTGGGGAGAAACACAATGCAATCGAGACAGATATACGAGACCAACAGTACGGTTTGACTCCCGAACGGTAGTACCTCCTGAGTCCGGAACAGATGAAAGTACACAGCTCAGATCAGACCACCTGCTCGTTACACCCGTCCGGCGTTGCACACTCCACTTGGTGTCCCCGACCGGCACATCACTCAATGGTGGACCAACAACGAACCCGCAAGGCCCTCTCAGCAGCTCAATTTGTGGAACCGCTCGGTCCTCGGGTAGCAGTACGCACCCTTGGAAACTGTCACCAATCAAACGCCGCACGGTGTCCAGATAGGTGCCTATAAAAGGATTGCTAATCAACGGCAGAACACCGACCGGCACCTCGTGGCTCTGTTCGGCTTGAAGGAACAGATAATTGCTCAGGCTACCCGTCCGGCCAAACATTCGCAGGAGAAATTCCTGCTCCATTCCCGCGCCAAGGTCTGGCTACCGGAATGAGTGCCGCTCGGTCGCTTTATAATCTGCCATGCCAACGACATCCTTCCGTCCGACATCTTCCCGTCCAGTAGCTTCCCGTTCGGTACATAATCGTCCGACATCTACCCGTCCGACATCATCCCTTCCGACATCTCATCGAATGAGCTGCGTCTTGCCGAACGGGAAACAAGATCGACAATCCGCATTAGAGCTTTTAACCAGCCATTGTTGCCGGATTTACAACTTGGAGGGAGGAGACCACCGCGAGCACGAGGTTCCACACAGACTCCCGAACGGGACACGTTCCGCTCCTGTGAAGATAAGCATTTTATTATGGGTTTCCAATTATTGGGCTGCAGGGAGAATGTTAAGGCAGCAGTTGGGCCAACTTCAACCAGTTGGGCCAAATCGTAAGGTGGTGGGATTTTCGACTTGTGAAGGTTACAACGGACTATCATGGGGCCTACATTTTTTATTACAGGGCTGGACCACGTATCTTCGGCAATTACCAATCTCCGGGCCAGCAACTTGGCCTGGCAAGCTACAATTCAGCCTATTCGAGCTAAGTACCATTATTTTCTCTGGTATTATTGCTATGTTTGATTGCCCCATCATTATTTAATAGGGGTTAAAATATCCCGAATTAAATAAAGCCGAGGGAAACTCCAATGGTAGATATTCGCCGCCATTTTGAAATTAAATGATCGGTTTTGGGTGGGCCTATTGACCCGCCTCCGATCAGCATCAAATGCTAGTACATTAAGATATTAAAATGTTAATTATAGTATCACTACTATTAATTGCACATCACCATTGTTAATGCCAAGCGAAGCTTTGGTAATAGGCTCACCTTCATTTTTATTAAATGCTTGGTTGAAGTGCCCGAACGACAACCATGCCTAGTACAGGGTGAAGTAGTTAGTTTGATTAACTAAAGTTGTTATTTCTTGAAAGCGTCTGACAAACCACTAGGTGGTTCTGATAGCACCTGGGCAGTGCGAAAAATGAATCTAGGCCGAGGGTTATTATACCACTTGGCCGGTAGTCATGAATGAAATAAGAGAAATGTTATACTTGTGTGTATATACTTGTATATGTTGTTCGGCCGTGCGACCATATTACTATGCTTATTGTGCAGTGGAATTCGTGATGGGAGATCCATGATGTTGGCATGAAGCGCGAAGACGTTCATGACCGATAAAGAAGAGAAGCAAAGCCGTTCGGTCAACTCAAACGGGAAGATCAATGATGTTCAACATGAAGCGCAGAGACGTTCATGACTAGCAACGTAAAGAGATTCAGGGAAAGCTGTTCGGTCAGCTCGAAAGGGGAGATCACGAAACACAGAGACGTTCGTGACTGGCAACTTAAAGAGATTTAGGGAAAGCCGTTCGGTCAGCTCGAACGGGGAGATCACGAAACGCAAAGACGTTCGTGACTGGCAATGTAAAGAGATTCAGGGAAAGCCGTTCGGTCAGCTTGAACGGGGAGATCACGAAACGCAGAGACGTTCGTGACTGGCAACGTAAATAGATTCAGGCAGAGCCATTCGGTCAGCTCGATCGGAGAGATCACGAAGCACAGAGACATTCATGAAAAAAAGAGATACCAAGAGAAGTCCTACGAGATACCGCTCGGAGCCGTTCGAGATTCCCTAGAAGGAAGATAAATGATGTTCAGCTTGATGCGCAGAGAAATTCATGGCCGATTGAGAAAAGAAGAGACTACAAGTGTGTAGATATCACGACATGTGGAGAGTCCAGAGAACTCCATGACTAGCAATCCGGACCCACCGTTCAGCACCTAGAGCAAGCTTCACGGGCAGGGGGCGCCTGCAAGACCCTCAGACGTCCTTGATAATGGTCGGGTCCTCCCACGCCTTTACAGAGGGAGGATGACCGTCTTATGCAGTACGATCGGCCCCTCAGCGCCATCGTATCACGGGCAGGGGGCGCCTGCAAGACCCTCAGACATTCTTGATCATGGTCGGGTCCTCCCATGCCTTTACAGAGGGAGGACCACCCTCTCATGCAGTTTATCACCTCTGAAAGCATCTTCACGCTCCACGGAGGGAGACTTATTGTTCGGATCATCATTGACTACTTCTATACCTTCACAATCGGCCACCCCGACACGATGTGATCATCATTGAGAGTCCCTGTATTAAAAAATTAAAAAAAAAGAAGAAAAGAAAAGAGAGAGACAAGGAAATCAGGGCTCCCCGAATGTCACTTTGACCGGTAGTATAGAAGAACCGAACGTTAACATTGAGAGTCTCACCTCAGCGGTTAACATGGAAATCGTTCCGGACGACCGAATGAGGAACATGTTAGCAGTTTGGAGGGAGCCATCATCTCTGCTAACAGAATTTGACCCTGTACTTACGAACGGATAAAGGGATCAAAACAGCTTGGAGATGGTGTCAAAGCTATAAGTATGGACGAACCGAGCGACGTTCGGTAACATGGATTGTTCGTCCGGGGGATCGGAACTATGGTTTTAAAATCTCGCCTCAATCATTAACTTGATTTGGAAGTGAGTCACCATTTTAGCTATAAATAAGACATGATCTGATCCGGGGATCTTATTTATAGTTTGAAGATGGTCATCTCAAACCCCTAATAAGGATGATTCGGATCGGAAAAAACCGGACGGACTACATCGGAATTTTGGGTTTGGAAGATAGAGAGTCTCACCTCACATTTTAACACGTAAAATCATTCCGGATGACCGAATGATGAACGTGTTAACAGTTTGGAGGGAGCCATCATCTCAGCTAACAGAATTTGACCCTGTGATCACGAACGAATAGAGGGACCAAAACGGCTTGGAGGTGAATCATCTCAGCTAACAGACTTTGACCCTATGATCACGAACGAATAGAGGGATCAAAATGACTCGGAGGTGATGTCAAAACACATGTTTGTAGAGTCGAGTCCATGTCTATCCGAGTCAAGTTGAGTCCATGTTTGTAGAGTCGAGTCCATGTCTATCCGAGTCAAGTCGAGTCCATGTTTGTAGAGTCGAGTCCATGTCTATCCGAGTCGATTCGAGCCCATGTTTGTAGAGTCGAGTCGAGTCAGGTCCATTCCTGTGGGAAATGGCCGTGTAAGGACCATGGCAATGACCATGGCATCGTAAGTCCATATCACAACAGGACCATCTTATGCAACACGGTCGGCCTCTCAGCGCCATCGTGTCTAGTTCGTGTTCGACGATGGCCACGTAAGGACCATGGCAGTGTAAGCCCATATCACAGCAAGGCCCGCTTTTATGCAGCACGAACGGGCTCCACAGCACCGTCGTGCCTGACTCTCGGTCGGGCTCGTCTATCCTTGATCTAGGATGGCGACCGCCACTTTTATGCAGCACGAACGGGCTCCACAGCACCGTCGTGCCTGACTCTCGGTCGGGTTCGTCCATCCTTGATCTAGGATGACAGCCGCCGCTTTTTATGCAGCACGAACGAGCTCCACATCACCGTCGTGCTTGACTCTCGGTCGGGTTCGTCCATCCTTGATCTAGGATGACAACCGCCGCTTTTATGCAGCACGAATGGGCTCCACAGCACCGTCGTGCCTGACTCTCGGTCGGGCTCATCTATCCTTGATCTAGCATGGTGACCGCTGCTTTTATGCAGCACGAACGGGCTCCACAGCACCGCCGTGCCTGAGTCTCGGTCGGGCTCGTCTATCCTTGATCTAGGATGGCGACCGCCACTTTTATGCAGCACGAACGGGCTCCACAGCACCGTTGTGCCTGACTCTCGGTCGGGTTTGTCCATCCTTGATCTAGGATGACAGCCGCCGCTTTTTATGCAGCACGAACGGGCTCCACAATACCATCGTGCCTGACTCTCGGTCGGGTTCGTCCATCCTTGATCTAGGATGACAACCGCCGCTTTTATGCAGCACGAACGGGCTCCACAGCACCATCGTGCCTGACTCTCGGTCGGGCTCGTCTATCCTTGATCTAGGATGGCGACCGTCGCTTTATGCAGCATGAACGGCTGGCTCATCAGCGCCGTCATGCCTTCTTTTTGACCAGTCTTGTCGATCCTTAATCTAGGATGGCGACCATCACTTTTATGTAGCACGAGCGGCATGCTCTACCACGCCATCGTGCCTAGTGCGGGATTGCACCTCACTTATGGATTATGCATGCCTTGCGCCCAAGATTATTCAAAGACCGATTCTGGGATTGCAGGAAAGGATGTGAGCAAGAGTATACTTTTTCGAGTAAATTTGTTAGCTCACTACTCAAGAAACTGAGGGACTTGTGTTGGGGAATATTATCCCGGCCCTATTTTGTTCTGAAGCCCAAGGCTTCACCTGATATGGAGCCCAGTTGACGAGGTCCATTTAGGCCCCTCTGGCCCATTTAGAGCCATTGAGGCCCACCCGGGCTACTTGGGGTGGTTTCGGCCCATTAAGGCCCATTAGGCCTATTGGCCCATTAGAATAGAAAACCCTCCCCTGGCTTATAAATAGGAAGCTTGGCTTCCAGATTACAGGATCTGCTTTACTTCTCTTCGGGGAGCTTGGCTCCTTGCTCCTTTTAGTTATTTCAAGCTTCATCAATGGAAGCTCCAAGATATTTGTATTATGTAAAATGGTGAGGAGAGCATGTTAATGAGAAAGAGCGGTCTTGGACGTTAGCCTAAAAAGTCCCGTGGTTTTCTCCCTTTCCGGATTTCCACGTAAAAATAGCTAGTTCATACACTTTTATATATTTATTTGCTTTTATACCGAATCCATCGTCCTTAATATCCGAAGTTTATGTTGGGCTTTCGGATCTACGGGACTAAACCTCAACAGTAAGGATCGTATGAGAATACCATCTTAGGGGAGAAATGAGAATAATTTTGAAGCTTTGGATTTGGATATTGTGTATCATGTAAAACAGAAAAGAGCATATAAAAAATTGAAAAATGTGCATTTCAAATAAAATTGAAAAATGTGCATTTCAAATGTGCAAAAGTTTCAACGTAAATGTACCCATTTAAATTTTGCATTACTTTAAGTATGAATGTGCATCTGCGTGAATGATAAAGTGCATCATTTTGGAGCATTCTCATTTCTCACGTAAATGAGTGTTCTCACTGGAATCACATCCAATATATTTATTAAAGATTGAAAGTTTGGTGCATTTGGAATAAAAACCCTTTTTAAGAGACCAACAAATTTATTTAATTGAGAGTCTTTGTCTAGACAAAAGAACATGAAAAACTACAGTGTGTTGTTAGTATATTATATTATACGGAGTATTAAATATAATAGAATTTGTTAAAATAATATTTTAAACGGTTTAGCCCTTTTTCAAATTTTAAGACGTGTTCGATTCCTAAGTTTTTAAGGACTCGCACCGCCCCGAACCGTTTGGTTTTACTAAAATTAGGACCCGACCATAACCTGCCTTGAACCTGTATTACCTGTATTGCCCACGCCTATAATATATACAGGTACTACGTATTGATTATCTTTATCTTTAAGGAAGGTCCAATTTTTTTTTAATACTTCATACATTATAAAAATATAAAATGGTTTTCTTTACTTTATACTGATGGATAGTCTACCCGGGGTATATATCCGAAGGGTTTTTACGGGGAATAACTTAGAGAGAAGTCAGAGTAAGCAAGTAAATGTAGAGAGAGAGTGTATTCAGTATGAATGTCGTGGTTACAAATGGGGAAATGGGGTGCTATTTATAGTAGCAATAAATGCCGGACAGGGACACGTGTCAAACGCTCATTGGCCGAGGGGTCACCTCAATTGGTTGGCGCTGGCAGCCGCATGTGGCCGCATTTAATGCGGCTGTTGGATGGGACGTCTGTGCAGGGTACAGTGATCTGTACGCATGTGAGGCGGATATCTTGTCGAGTAAGATGCCCTCGGCTATAGAGCAGTAGCCGGGGGCTCCTCCAACCGATGGCACCCTGGTGCCGAGGGCTCACAGTGCCGAGGGCTACTGTTTTCGCCGTTTTCTCCCAGTTTCTTAATTTGCTTGAGAAACCCGTTCTGTGAGAGTTTAGAGCCTTCGGCCAGGGGGCCGAAGGCACCCCTGGCGCGTAGTGTGGGCTGCTTGGTACTCTGGGCGCTGTGATTTGGGCCTGTTGGGCCTTCTGGACCTGTTGGGCCTTCGCTGGAGTAGTAGGAGTCTGTGGGCCGGGGGTTCCCGGGCCATATACTCCATCAGGAGTCCCTCACTCCTTTTGCCGAAAGGTACTTGAGGGAAAATGAGTAATTTGTGCTTGCCCTTTGATGTTGTCCTATCGTGATCTCTGAAGTTGGTGAGGAGTTGTTGCTTTTATGTCCCTGCCGAAGGCAGTCCCTCAGTTACCCACATGTCGGGACTTGAGGGCTTGCTTTGTCGTTTGTTGGAATTTCACTAATTTTGTAATTTAATGATTTTCCCGAGGGGGTCCTCCAGTCCCCCACTCCTTGAGGCACTTGTAAAGTGGTGAAAAGGAGTAGAGTAGTTGCGTTGCTGTTGTGGGCCGAAGGCTGACGCTTTTCGTTTCATTTTGGGGGGATGCCTCGTTAAAAACCTCATTAGGAAAAACCCTGAGGGAAAAAATCCTAATGAGGGAAAAAGAGTGCACCGAATTCCCCCAATGATGAATCGAAAATGTGGAACCTTGGTCAAAAATGGAGAACAACGGTAATGCCGAAGGCTCTTCCTTGTTCTGAGGGCTCATGTGTTGATTAGCCGAAGGCTTGCTGTTGATGTCCTGGGGGGCGCCGAAGGGGAGCCCCTCAATCCGGGGATCGAGGGCCTGCTGGATGAGGGCAGCAGTGGGGTTGTTACCGGGGGGTCCACTGTTTGTTGATTAGTTGGTGATGAAGATACCCGAGGGCTCCCATTACCTGTGTGCCATGAGTTATCCGTCAATGAGGCAACTCCCCGGGGGCTACCCGATTTTGCAATGCTGAGGGGGAATCCCCGAGGGGTGCCCTGATATGAAGCCCTGGGTTTCTGAAGGAGTGATCCCGAAGGCGTCTGTTATGTGCTGTGTGGGGCACAACCCGGGGGCGTCTCTGGGTAAGTGTACCCAGAAGCTCTCCTTGACGAAGAGGAGTGAAGTAGAAAACCCGGGGGCTTCCAGAATATAGCCGTTGGAAATATAGCCGTTGGAATATGTAACGACAGGATATAGCCGTTGGGGGGGGGGGCACACGTGGCGTGTGATGGCTGGCTGTCCGTGGGCGGCATCACGGGTTGGGTGAAGACGCGGTGTGTAATGATGGCGGTCCATCCGGAGGCCCGGAATCCAGGCCCAAGCCCGGATTCCAGCGCCTATAAATACCCCAAGGCCAGAGCCATTTCCTCTTGTGCGATCAGTTGTCTTAGCGAAGCTCTGCCAAAAATTCTAGTGAGAGAAACTCCAGCCTTCGGTCAAAACTCTGCTTTCAAGGTCAGTGCCCCCTGCCTTTCTCCTTCTAGTTTAGCTGTGCATTGTGCCCTCGGGTTAGGAGATAGAATTCCCTAGAAACCTTAGTTCCCCCGAAACCTCGAGCTAGAGTTAGAATGTCGTCCCAGAGTGACTCTCAGGACATCTCGAGGACCCCCTCGGTTCAGGACGAAAGCATCTCCGACATGGAGTCCAGTAGCAGACAGCCCTCGGGTGGTGGTGATGCAGCTCTCGCCACCGAGGTGCAGAAGGATCTGGTGGCCGAGGTCGAGGCGGAAGGAGTTCGAGCGAACCGCCGAGGATGAGGAGTTGGCCCTCGCCGTCCAAGTTGCTGAAGAGGAGGAGGAAAAGGAGAGGGCGAAGGTCACTGTCGCTGTTCTTCCCCCCGGGGCTCTGGGGAAGCAAGTAGCTCGAGGCCGCTGGACCCGACGCCGTTAAGTGTAGCCCCCGGGAAGAAGAGGAGAAAGACGAAGGCTGGCCCCCAGAAGAAAGTGAGGGCCGTTGATCAAGGGGGGCCAGTTGATCTACCGGAGGGTTACTCCTTCCTGGACACCGCCGCTCTGGAGATTAAGTCCCAAGCTGACAGGGCGGACATCTACATCACCCAGTTGCACGTAGGGCCCTCGGCCGTAGTAGTCGAGCCAAGTCCTGATGACGTGCTGTCCCGGCCTCCCGAGGGATGTATAGCCGTGCACGTGCTCTCGGTTTCACTGGGCCTCCGGTTCCCTCTCCATCCGTTCCTCCGGGAGTACCTGAGGTACACTGGCCTGGTTCCTTGCCAATTGACCCCCAATAGCCATTCATACATAGCTGGGTTTGTGAACCTGTGCAAGCTCCGGGGGGTCACACCGAGCTTGGAGTTATTCTTCCAGAGCTTTAACCTATGCCGGGGAGGGGGGGGGGGGCATACTAATGCCGAGGGCTATGCGAACTTACAGCAGATAGCCCAGTTCAAACTGTTCACCGAGGCCCCTTCTTCCAACAAGGGGTGGAGAGAGCGATGGTGCTACATCCGACTGGCCGACAGCCCTTTCCCGAGGGAGTTGCGGAATTGCTTTCGGCGCCATGTGAAGGTCAAGAGTGCCGCCCTCGAGAATGATGGCCTGAAGATTGCCAAGATTCCGGAGGGTCGGGATAAGAACATCACCATCAAGGAGTGCATCCTCAAGGAAGACCTGTATGCCCTCGGATTCCTGAGGTATCGGTTCATTGGGGAGACCGATGAGAAGTATCCCCTCTACGATAAAGCCTTCGTGGGAGCAGGAGGTAGCGGCCGAGGGCTTTACATTTTCGTACTTAGAGATTTTTTGTCATGTTTGTTGTCGTGTCTCTGACCCCTCGGTTCTAACCTTTCAACTTGTTGCTGTCGTTCTTTGCAGGTAGCAGGATGAATGCACACGCCCTGTTCGCGAAGAGGAAGGGCAAGACCCAGTCAAAGGAGAAGGGGCCCTCGGACCAGAAGCCAGTCGACGCGCTTTTTCCGAAGGTCATAGAGCCTTCCGCCGGGGACGCCCATGCTGCTGTGGGGACCAGGGGATCGAAGGCCGAGGCGGCCGTTAAGAAAAAGAGGAGCGATAAGGGGGTGGAGCCCCCTACCAAGAAGCAGAAAGCCGCCGGGGGCGCCGTCGAGGGGGCGGCCCCCCTCATAGTTATTGATGACACGCCCGCCGCTGATGGGCCCCTATCCTCGGTCACCCCGAAGGCTCTGGTGAATCCATCCCCGGAGAGATCCGTCAGCTCTCTTTTGCCCCGGGAGATCCGTCAGCTCTCTTTTGCCCCCGGCGCTTCATTGATGCACGGCACTGCCGAGCCGAGGGCCTTCCTGCGGGGCATCACCTCGAAGATGGACAGGGAAGTCTTCGAGACCTACGATGATGATGCCCTCGAGAACAGGATCCTCCGGTCCTCGCTCACTGTAAGTATCTGCTTCCTTTTTCCTTATCTCATCAGTTTAGTATTATTTTTTCCTGAGGAATAATCTAACTCCTTTGATCGTTGTTTGCAGGCCTGCATAGCCCTCGGGGAACAGGCCCGAAGGCGCGAGGAAAGGCGCCTTCACGAGGCCGCCCAGGATAAGAAGATGGAGGGGCTGATCCGCAAGAACTCCGAGGCGGTGAAGCATGCTGCCCAGCTGGAGGAGGCCCTCCGGGAGGCGAAGGCGGCGGCGGAGAAGGCCAAGGCTGACGGCATAGCCGAGGGCAAGGCTGAGGCCGAGAGGGTTGCTGCCGAGGCGGCGAAGAAAGCTTTCGATGAGGCCAAAACCGCCTAGGAGGGAGCTGTGGCCAAGGCCCGAGGGGAGGCAGTTGCTGAGTTTCTCGCTGAGGGCTGGAGGATGAGGGCCATAAGGAGTGGGTGGCCTCCGTGGTGGCGGCCTCGGTGGATGCTTGGGTAGAAGGCCCCGGGGTTGACTGGCTGACAGATAGGGGCGACGCCTACTATCAGGGGGGTGAGTTTTTTACCCAGCATTTGATTTACCGGAGGCTCGCCAGGCACTTCGGCGTATCCCTTGATCAATTCGACCCCTCGGCATACATCCTCCCCCCATTGCAACCAGACGTGAGAGTTCCCCTCCCCCCGGGCGAAGAGCGGCCGACGATATATGATTCCGTGATGATGGGGGGTGATGGGGGCGGAGCCGTCGGAGGTGATGCTGCCGGGGAAGAAGTCTCCTCAAAAGCTGCCGTGGAAGATGCCCCCGGAGATAACGATGCTGAAGCCGCAGAGAAAGTTTGTACTTAGTTAATATTTAAAACTTCTGTTGTAACGGACACCTTTGATCCCTCGGCTTCGGCCTGTCTGTAACGATTACATTGACTCCTTTTTGTTGTAATTGAATGATTGCCTTCGGGCTTTGTATATATGACCTGTTTTCTCCAATTCCTTTCTTCTTGAATGTATGTCTCCGTTTTCCTTGAGTGTATGCCTTCGGTATTTTTGAATGTATGTCTAGGACTTAGAATATTTTCTGATTGTAGATTCATTGTGTACTGTAGCCCTTGATTGATAGGTAGCCTTCGGATGTTGGGTCCCTTTATAAGTTGAGGGTGAAATATGTAGGACTTAGAAAGATTTCTAAGTGTAGATTTTCCCTTGGGAGCCTTCGGGAGATGGCATCCCTTCTTGATGTATGAGTAGTTGACCGGGGGAAAAACATGTAGGACTTAGAAAATATTCTAAGTGTAGATTTTCCCTTGGGAGCCTTCGGGAGATGGCATTCCTTCTTGATGTATGAGTAGTTGACCGGGGGAAAAATATGTAGGACTTAGAAAATATTCTAAGTGTAGGTTTTCCCTTGGGAGCCTTCGGGTGATAGGTGCCCTCTGACTCCACATCACTTTGCGAGATGCCCGGGGGCTGCTCATTTAGGACAGAATATTTTTTTTAAGTGTTGTTGTATTGCATGGCCTTCGGCTACCATATTCCCTTGGCTGTAATATTGATCGGGCCGGGGGCCCAATCTTTAGGACTTAGAATTTTTTCAAGTGCTGCTTCCTTGTGTAGCCTTCGGGTGATAGGTGCCTTCTGACTCTATATTACTTTTGCGAGATGCCCGGGGGCTGCTCATTTAGGACTTAGAATTTTTTCTAAGTCCTATAAATTGATGTTGAATCCTGTTGTTGTGAAGAAAGCCAATGAGGAGTGTGTGCCCTCGGCATACACTTTGAAAGTTGTAGAATTTGACCCTTGTCATGGGGTAAGGGCCCTTGGTACTAGTGCGTAACAGATGCCTTCGGTATTTGTTTGAAGGTACCGTTTTAGTGTACTTTGGATAGTCCAGTCCCTTTGTATTGTTGAAGCCTTCAGTGTTTGTGTGACCGGAGGTGACCAGGCAGTGGACTTAGCCGTTTCTTGATGATATTTGTTTGAGTAGTATCCTTCGGGAAATAGGAGCCTTCAATTACCGGAGGTGTCCCCGTGGGGAGCCCTCGGTATGTTGTGATCTGTTGGAGTGTACTCTTTGATTTCTCGCTGAGTCTACTCCCCTTCACCCCCCCCCCCCCTTTTTTTTTTGGTTGGTGGTGAAGGGAAGGCATCAAGAAACTTGGTTTCTTGGTAAGGCTGGGCCTATTAGGAGACCATCAGAATACACCATGGGCTCTCCTCCCTCGGGTTAACCTTCCGAGTTCCGAGGGGATCGAGGGTCGTTTCCTGGGCACAAGATATGGTGGTCCGTAACCTGCCTCCCCTTGGGGGATGGCGCGGAAAGCGCCTCATTTTTGAAAGTCGTCCCCTCGGCGCTAGACATAGTCCGTGGCCTGCCACACCCTTGGGGTGGTGGCGCGGGGAGCGTTTCGGTTTGGAAGTCGAATCCTGGGCATTTCTCATGCCTGTCATACCCTGGGGGTAGTGACACGGATAGCGTTCCGTTTTTGAAAGTCGAATCCTGGGCATTTCTCATGCCTGTCATACCCTGGGGGTAGTGACGCGGAAAGCGTTTCAAGGAAGGGTTTTCATTTGCACACTAGTTGCAAATGGCCGGGGGCACTACGTGCCACCGGCACCGATGGTGGCGCCTTCGGTATATGCGTCCTCGTGGGGTACGGCTTTTAGAAACAACACTTGGTGTTAGTTTCGATGTGTAGCCCCCGGTACTTGGTACCGAGGGGTCTTCTGTAGGAACACTTGGTGTTCTCTTTTGTTGCAGTTGATGGAGGTGTCTACCCTCGGTACCTGGTACCGAAGGGTCTTCAAATGAAACACTTGGTGTTTCCCAATAGATGTGTGGAAGTTGATAGGAGAGCATATCCCTGGCACTGGGTGCCGAGGGGTCTTCTTTGAAACATTTGCTGTTTTTCTTCGTTTCGATGTTTGATGATGGAGGTGTACCCTCGGCACTGGGTGCCGAAGGGTCTTTTGTAGGAACACTTGGTGTTCTTATTTTTCTTGTTTTGACGTTGGAGGTGGGGATGTACCCTCGGCACTGGGTGCCGAAGGGAAATGAAACACTTGGCGTTCCTTGTTGTTGGTGATAGGAGTTCCCTCCCCTGGTACTTGGTACCGAGGGGTCTTGTTCGAGAACACATGGTGTTCTTCTGCTGTTGTAGGTGTTGATGGTGTCCGCCCTCGGCACTTGGTGCCGGGGGGGGGGGGGGGGGGGGTTGTTCTTGTAGTATGAGGGCGTGGTGTCTTGAATGTGTCTTCATTCCTCAAAGGTGGAGGCCTTGGGCCAAAGGGTAGTACATTCATTAGTTATGAGGGCTTGGCCGCTCTTACATTATTGGTAAAATTTAACTAAATGGTGTACATTCCAGTGCCTAGGGACCTCTTTCCCGTTGGGGCGTTTGAGCTTGTATGTTCCAGGTTTGATGATGGCTGCAATGATGTAGGGACCTTCGAATTTTGGTGCCATTTTGCCTCCCTCGGTTGGTTGGCTGGCTTCCCTCCTCCGGAGGACATAGTCCCCCACTTGGAATTCTCGGGTGCGAACTTTGGTGTCGATGTAGCTTTTGACTCGCCTTCGGTAGTTTTCCGCCCGGATGAAGGCCTGCTCCCGGCGTTCTGAAATGAGGTGGAGGTCGAGGGCCATGTTGCTGTCGTTGACCTCGGGGTCATATTGGATCACCCTTTGGGTGGGAAGGGTGACTTCCGTAGGAGCTTTGGCTTCAAAACCGTAGCAAAGGGAGAAGGGTGTTTCACCTGTTGCTCGCCGAGGGGTGGTGCGGTAGGCCCAAAGGATGTTGTGGAGTTCTTCCACCCAGCCACCGCCCTCGGCCTCCACCTTCTTTTTGAGGCCCTCGAGCAAGGTCCGGTTGGCATTCTCTACTTGCCCGTTGCCTTGAGGGTAGGCCACGGAGGAGAAGGTGTGTTTGATGCCCCATGCCTCCAGGAGGGCACAGAAGGGGGCTGCCTCAAATTGTGTCCCATTGTCGGAGATGATCTGCTGGGGGACGCCAAACCTTGTGAGGATGTTCTTGAGGACGAAGTGACGGCACTTCGCCTCTGTGATGCTGGTGAGGGGTTCAGCCTCCACCCACTTGGTAAAGTAGTCGACGGCCACAATGATGTATCTGTTGTTGGAGGTACCCCTCGGCAGAGGGCCCACAAGGTCTATCCCCCATCGGGAAAAGGGGACAGAGGTGCTGATGGGGGCATAGTTGACCGCTAGCCTGTCGGGGGCTTTCTGGAAGTGTTGACATGCGGTGCACCTCCGGGCAAGGTCAGCACAATCTCTGGCCATGGTTGGCCAGAAGTAGCCCTGGAGAATGAGCCTTCGGGACATGGAGAAGGGTCCCTGGTGAGCTGAGCAAGTGCCACTGTGCACTTCCTCCATTGCGACCTCGGCCTCATCCGGATGAAGGCACCGAAGCAGCGTGCCATTGTAAGATCGTTTGTAGAGCCTTCCATCTTCGATGGTGTAGCTAGGAGCCCTCAGCTTTGCCAGTTTAGCGCGGGCCTCATTCTCGGGTAGCTGCCCTGTGGAGATGAAGGTGGTGATATCTGAGATCCAATCCTCTTGACGTTGTTGTATGTTCATAACGGGGCTTGCATGGATGCTTGAGAGGCTGAGTTCCTCGATTTTGGCAATTTTGGAGATGTGCTCGGGGGAGTCGGCCAAGAGCTTAGATAATATGTCGGCCTCGGAGTTCTGAGCCCTCGGTATTTGAGTGAGAGAGTGTGCCTCAAATACCTTAAGCAACTCCTTGGCCGCTTCCTTGTACTGTTTCATTCTTCCCTCCTTGGCCTCATATTCCTCGGAGATTTGGCCAACGACCAACTTGGAGTCGCGTTTGATGTGGATCTGCCGAGCCCTCATGTTGGCAGCCAGCCGAAGGCCACATAGGAGGGCCTCATATTCGGCTTCGTTGTTGGAGACTTTGAAGGAGAAGCGGATTGCATAGTAGGCTCTGAAGCCCTCGGGAGTAATGAGGACTACCCCTCCCCCGCATGCTTTGGTCGCGGAGGAGCTGTCGGTGTAGAGGGTCCACCAGTCGTCCGAGGTAGCCGAGGGCTCCCCGTCCGTGGCTGCCCTTGCGGTACATTCCGTCACAAAGTCCGCCAGGGCTTGGCCCTTGATGGCAGGCCTTGGACGGATGTCAATGTTGTACTGGCTCCAGAAGATAGCCCATTTCACCATGCGGGAGGAGCTGGTGGGGCTCCTCATGAGGGCGCCGAGGGGTTGATGAGTGAGGACCTGAACCGGGTGAGCTTGAAAGTAGTGTCCCAACTTCTTGACAGTCCAAACGATGGCTAACACCGTTTTTTCCACAGGGGAGTACCTGAGCTCGGCCTCCCTTAGGGTCTTGCTTACATAGAAGATGGCATGTTGGATGCCGTCTTCCTCCCGGATGAGCACATAGCTGATGGCCGCCGGGCTGACCCCAAGGTAGAGATATAGGGTCTCCCCTACCTTTGGTTTTGAGAGCACAGGGGGTGAAGACAGATACCGCTTGAGCTCGTCGAAAGCCCCCTGGCATTCCGGAGTCCATAGAAAGCCAGCCGTCTTCCTCATGATCTGGAAGAAGGGTAGAGATTTCTCCGCTGATTTAGATAGAAAGCGGTTGAGGGCTGCCAGGCGGCCCGTCAACCGTTGAACTTCCTTCACATTGCGTGGGGGCTCCATGTTGATGATGGCCTGGATCTTCTCGGGATTGGCCTCAATACCCCTTCGGCTCACCATGCAGCCCAAGAATTTGCCCCCTTGGACGCCGAAGGTGCACTTCTTCGGGTTTAGCCGAAGGTTGAATTTCTGCATGATGGCGAAGATCTCCCGGAGGTCGTCAGCATGGCTGGAAGATTGCTTGCTTTTGACAATCATGTCGTCGACATAGGCCTCCATGGTGCGCCCTAGGACGGCTTGAAAGACCCGGGCCACCATCCGGGTGTAAGTGGCCCCTGAGTTCTTTAGGCCGAAGGCCATTACTAGGTAGCAGAAGATGCCCTCGGGAGTCATGAA